CAGAAAATAAGCGATAACGAATCGGAAATAAGTGGAGAATTCGGTGATGTCATTAAAGACGACACTTCACAAATTGGTGTCGTGTCAACAGAACCGGTAAGTAATTTATTTTTAACGACGTTTTTTCTCCCACGCGTACGCACACAGAATTTTTTCAGAAAAAAAATATTATTATTATTATTATTATTACAGTTGCCTCCCGTCGAGGAAGCGGAAATAAGTTTGGTTGAAAGATTAAAATTTTTAAAATTTAATCACATGAAAGCTTTAATATGGAAAAATTTTCTATGGATGTGGAGGAACGTCGGGTACGAATTATTTAGAAAAAATAATAATAATAATAATAATTTACTCATCGGTCGATGATTTTCCCCATTTTATTTTTTGTTAATTTTCAGAATTTTACTTTTCATAAGCGGTCTCCCCGTACTCGAATGTATTTTCTTTTGTTTGTGCATCGGTCACGACCCGAAAGGTCTTAAATTTGCCATATTTAACGACGAATTAAATCGTACTTATCAATCTTGTGACACGGTACCCTACGGTTTGGTTAATAACACATACGAAAATTTAGCTTGTTTGTATTTGAGTCACCTGAGCAAGAAAAATGTCGAATTTGTAAGTTTGTCTCTTTATCTTCATTCTTGTATCGAAATCATAAAAAAAAATCTTTTTATGTCATTGAAAAAATTTATATAGATAAATACAAATAGCGAAGAAGAAGCGATAAATTTAGTGACAAAAGGTCACGCATGGGGAGCTTTGGAATTTTCTAAAAATTATACGGAATCTTTAACGGAAAGAGCCAGATTGGGTAGGCACGCAACGGAAGATTTACTCGAACATAGCGATATTAAAATCACTATGGATATGTCTGGTAATATTTATTATCATTATCATTATTATTCTTTTGAAAAGAGGCGTGATGAGCATTTAAATTTTTTTTTTTTATTAAAATTAGATCAGCAAATCGGTCAGCTTTTAAGGAGGGATATTTATTATGCATTTGCGGAATTCATACAAAATATATCGTTGCAAAGTAACGTTTCCGTTCGAGTCGCATTGCCACCGATTCAAGTACGAGATCCCGTTTACGGAACGAGACATCCAAATTTTACCGATTTTGCCGCTCCTGGAATTATTCTGACGTAAGTTCCGGTTACAAATCCGCCGAATTTTAAATTTTAAAGAAAAAAAAATTCCCCGGAATGAATGAATTGAATTCCATGGTTACGAATGCTCCAGGCTCGTTTCCTTGTTTTTTTTTTTTTATTCGATACGATTATGATCTTTAGTTAGAGTATCCGTCGATTTCGAAAGTTAAAATTGAAAATTTTCCAGTCTCATCCGTTCTCGAACGAGATTTTTCTTTTTCTTCCTTGTTTCTTTTTATTTTTATTATTTTTTTTTATTCTAAGAAAATTTTATTTCTCATTACTTTATCACATAGATCGTACGTCTTCTTATAATGTCTCTTTTCTTAGTTTTTTTTTGTTTTCACTTTTGTAAATCCTCTTCAATTCCTTTTTTTTTTTTTCTCCTAAAAGTTTTAAAATTTCTGTAATTACGAGTCCTTAAACCTTGAGTCCATTCGGATTTATTATTATTATTATTATTATTATTATTATTATTATTATTATTATTATTATTAATTTATCAAAAAGTTAATTTTTTCAAAAACCTTTTCCCTCATTTTCCGGCAAAAAAAAATCTTTTTTTTTTAATGAACGCGTGGGAATTACGCGATTTCAATAAATTTTAAATTTTCTTATTATTTTTTTCTGTTTGTTTGTTTGTTCGCTTGTTTGTCGTTTGTCTTTTGAATGAAAACTAAAAAATCTCGACAACACGAAAATCAATTTTTTTTTTTTTTTCATTTTATTATGATTTAAATAACAAAAAAAAAATTTTCCTCCCGATTTTTCCTTTTCTTAAAAAAAAAAAAATCCGTTCGTTGGAAAATCCGTTCGTAGGCGTTTTTCATATTATCATTATTATTATTATTATTATTATTATTATTGAACTGTATTAATTTAACGAAGGGATATTGAATACTAAGAATTTGACAATTGGAAAAAGAAAAAAAAATGGCAGAAATAAGGAGGATGGAATGAATGAATGAATGAATGAATGGTTGATGAAATTAATTTTGTGTTAAAGGCGGGGCCGGAGGCGGAGGCGGAGACAGGGCGGGGGCGAGGGGGGGTAAATAAATCGATATATCGAAATTAGAAAATAAATCAATCGTTTACCGTTCGATAATATTAATTAATAATAAATCTTTTTTTTTTATTTTTCTTCCCGACAGAG